AAAGATGCCAGCATGCAAACAATGCTTCCTGTGTCTCACACCACAAAAAACCTCTGCCTCCAGTCCTATACCTCTCGGCTGCCAGAAGGACAGCCTTCTCAACAGGCTCCTTCTCAAGAAAATGCAGAATGGACACACATGTTGAAGACTGCAAGAAATTGCATTTCAGAGACAAAATTACGTATTTTCAACGTTCATAAATCAGAATGAGGAGCCCTGGAATTCTGTTTTGGCGAGCTCTGGCACAAATGAATGACTGTGGCCAGTTCACTGGTGGTGTTTTGTGCTGAGTGGGTATCAGAGCCAGCAGCTGTTGTTTCTAAGTGGAGCCACTCTTCAGAGAAAAGAGCTAGGGATTGTATTATGCTCAAAGCTCAATTCAACAAACCTCTTGAACTTTTAGATTAATCAGCTCTAATTTGCAGGCAAGTTACAGGTTATGCGTTCTGAACAAATCAAACAAGCTTGCCTGGCATTTCCCCTCAATAGATTCCCTACTGACTGCAGTATTTGCAGACTGCAAAATCTGCAATATTGTATGAGGCAGAAGCAAGGCGAGGTGGAGATTAAGCAAACTGTTGAAGCATGACTAACAGAGCCCAACTTGCTCAGAGGGGCAGAGTGAGCCAGTATTCTCCAAATCCTTATGTCCTCCCAGTTTCTTTCCCTCTTGTATTCCTTTCCTGTGGATTGCAGGCAGAGAGCCGTGAGGAGATGGCAGGTCATCTTCGACGCCTTTAAGTGGATTTGACTTCATCTCTGGAGTCCAGGTACAGTAAGTGAGGAGCTGCCCGCTTCTGTCAGCACATCTTCCTTCCTGGTAGTTACTTCTAGTTATATAAAGTACCTTGCGACTCCTAAAATCTAGATCACCTTATATAATTTATTATTTCATTATTTTCTTTCAACCAAATCAGTAAATCAGTAAAAATGTAATGAAACTGAAACCCACAAATTAGTAAAGGAACGCTTAAAGGTTTATGCCATGCTGAAAAGAGAAGAAAAAAAAATAACTGTGGAGCTTTGGCTGTGGAGCCTACTTTGGGCATGCGACATACCTGAATAATGCTCCACCTGTAATCTTTTCAGCGTGGAATAAACCTTTACTTGTTCCTTTGCAGCCTACGCAAGCTGACGCAGCTACCTACTGTACTTAAGTCACCAAGAATTAGCATACATGTACAGCAATCATATTAGGCATACAGTAGCTGCATGAAGTTTGCATGTTCTCCCTGTGTTTGCGTGGGTTATCTCCAGGTGCCCCGGTTTCCTCCCACTGTCCACAGTCCATGTGCTAACATGCTGGGAAAACTGGCCCTGGTGTGAGCGTGTGCGTCTGTGCGTCTGCCCAGCGATGGACTGGCGTCGCATCCAGGATGTAATCTACTGTATCTTGCACTCATTGATTGCTGGGATAGGCCCCACAACCCTGAATTGCACGGAGCATTTAGGAAATGGATGACTGGATATTTAGAATAAGACCTGAAATTCATTGGGGTGTAAAATATCAGTGAATCTTTAGAAATCGTCAGCTGCTAAATCTTCTAATTCTGGTGAAATCAATCAGAATGTCCCTATCTGAATACTGCTATATCCTCAGTCCAGACAGTTTCTGATGTCAAGGCATGCACCATGTTCAATTCCTCAAATATGTTAAACAGACTTCTGAATCCGGCCATTTTCTGCTGGCTATTAAGCTGAGTGACAGGCCATGTGAGGGAAACTGTCATTAGGGCACTAGTG